AATACAGATCAGAAATGGCACAGAAAGCATCTAAGCAAAGAGACATTGACTCTTTCCTTCCTTGGAGCACAAGAAGATCCTTTCCTTCTCCCTCCCAGGAGACAATATCTGATTAGTGGTTTTTTAATAAAAAAACTATCTATCATCTGTCTTCTTGAACTCTCTGATTGGGGACTAGAGAACTCTTACCCAGAGAGGCCACGTTCCTATGGTTTTCAAGCATGACTTCCGAATGCAGCGCTTTCTGGTCAGGATCCAGCAGAGACCATTCCTCCTCAGAGAAAGACACAGCCACCTCCTTGAAGGACACAAGACTCTCCTGAACACAGAAAAAAGAACAGGAGGATTTGCAAGATCTGTTCATCATCATCAATGATTTAGACAAGGAGGTTGAAGGGAAACTCATCAAATTTGCAGACAAGACCAAATTGACAGGAATAACAACACTCCAGAAGATAAGCTCCAGATATAGAAGGATCGACAGATTAGGGTTAGGGTTGAAATCAACTGTGAGAAATGTAAGGTTCTACATTTAGGAAAGAAAAACCAAATGCACTGGCATAGAATAGGTGATACCTGGCTCAACAGTAGTAAGGGCAACAGGGATCTTGGAGTCCTAGTGGACAACCACTTAAACATGAGTCAGCAGTATGCTACAGTTGCCGAAAAAACAGAATCATAGGCTGCATTAAGAGGGACAGAATCAAGATGACATGAAGTGCTAGTACCACTTTATAATGTCTTTGGAAGACCACACTTGGAATATTGCATCCAGGTTTGGTTGACAGATATAAAAAAGATATTGAGACTCTAGAAAGAATGCAGAGAAGAGCAACAAAAATTATTAGTGGACTGGAGACTAAAACATATAAAGAACGGTTGCTGGAATTGGGTAAGTCTGGTTTGATGAAAAGAAAAAGAAGGACTAGGGGGTGACATGATAGCAGTGTTCCAAGACGAAATAGATAGAAACTATTCAAGGAGAGAACCAACCTACAAGCAAAGAGGAATTTCCTGACAATATGAACAATTAATCAGTGGAATGACTTGTCTCTAGAAATTGTGGGTGCTCCAACACTGGATGTTTTAAGAAGAAATTGGACAGCCAATCATCTGAAATGTTATAGGGCTTCCTGTCTAAGCAGGGGGTTGGACTAGAAGACCTCCAAGATTCCTATCAACTCTGTTATTCTGTTCCATTGTTTTCAAAGCAAAGATAAGTTAAATGGCTGCGCGTCACACAAGTCCTAATATTAGGTGAGAAAATTGGCAAATCGAAAATTGCTTTCACTGAAGAAATATTTGGGGAAGTTTTATCAAGCTCATTGATTCTCTAGAACTTTCAGTGTGTTTCACTAAAGTAATCCCACTTCTGGATCAACTGATCTATCGCTCTGTCTATCATTGATTGATCTAGTAGTCTGAGCCATTGGCTGAAAGGAAGAAAACGAAGAGAAAACCAGAGGTTATAAATGAGGCTTTATAAAAATGGTAATGTGGCAATGTGAGTATTTAATTATCTTTCATTAGCCTTGCACAATTCAGAATCAAAGAATTATCTCAAAAACAGGGTCTGTAGCAGTTACTGTCACTGTGATACATTTACTTTTGAAGGACTTTTTAAAAATTGCTTCTTGCCAACTCAAAGCTGAAGAAGTACCTAGCAGAACAAGATAACAAGAGGAATATGCTGGCTGACAGGAACTTGAAAATGCTATTCTGCTCTCCTTGTTGTGGAAGAAGAGAAAAATAACCCAGGCCAAAAAAGTGTGGGGGGAAAATAGAAGGAGGGAGCCCTCTGCACACCCACTTCACTTCCTGAAGGGAGAATAGAAAGCTAATATCTTTTCCCTTTCTTACTTGATTTGGAGGTTCAACCGCTGTTTGATCTCTGTCATAAAAACCAGAAAGCTTCATTCTTTGTTTCTCTGTAAGGAATAAATAATTTCAAAATCCATAATTAACAAAACAGGAGGAGGTATTCTATAGAAGAGAAGAAAGAGCCAAATTAAGACAGATGGGAAATTGGAGGATCTTCCATTACCTCCTGAGGTGTCCCGACTTGGATCTTCCCACGGGCTCCTCCTGAAAAATAGCTCCTGAGGGGGATTTGATGGGTTCTTCTTTCCCTCAGGATCTCTGATCTCCACAGTGCAGCACTTCAAATAGGAGGAAGGAAAAAAGAAGCAGAATTAATGTACCTCACATGACACAAAGTGGATTCTTATATTTGGAACACAACCTCAAAGCCCTTGAGGCTGAGCGAGAAAACAAGGGAACAACGTCATACAAGAAGTGGTGAATTGCCACATGTGATGAATGCCAGAGAAGTTTGGGAAGGAGGGTGAAGTATTCAAACAGATTCTCTATTCCCTTCTGAGCTCCCTAAAGTCTCTCACCTGCAACTGGACCTGCTCCTTCTGCTCCTCCGCCTGGATCAGGAGGAAGCCTTCCGCCAGGGCCACCGCCTGGGAGCTGGTCTCTGCTCCACACTCCCGCACCCAGCCCTCCATCTCTGGGGGCAGAAGGAACAGGAGCTGCTCCAGAACCACCAGGTCCAGCATCTGGGCTTTCGTATTCTTCTCTGGTCTCAGCCATCGCCTGCAAAAGCCATGGAGTCGGCTGCAAAGTCCTCGGGGACCCTCAGCCTCCTGGTATTGGATGGAGGTCCAGGGCTGAACTTCTGAAGGGAGGATGGTTTCCTCCTCTAGGATCTTCTGCCTGGTTCTTGTCCAGAGCTTCTCCCCCTTCCCAGGCTGAGCAGCTAAAGAGTCTTTTCTGGCTCCCTCCTTTCCAAAAGGTTGTGTCTCCATCCTTTCTCTGTCCTGCAGAGCAACTGCAAATGGCTCCAAGGACTCTGGTGGGTCTCCAGATGCCTTTTCCTTCACGGGTCCATTTTCTGGTGCTGCAGGACTGATCCCTGCAAGGGATTCCGCTCTTTTTTTCTTCCCCCAAGAGGAAAGTTTGCCTTGCAAAGACCACAAATGGCTTCCAGTTTCTGTATCTGAGATGGGAAGAAAAAGAAACGCCAAGAATTAGAAAGTGGAATTCAGCCACTGAACGACCTTCCTCCAACCTGCTCGGACCCCCAAGCGGCTCATCCCAGCCAAGGCCCAGGTCCCCTTCCAGGGCCGGGAAGGAGGCAGCTGGAGAGGCCGCCCCCCTTCTCTCCCCCTCCGGAGACAGGATGGGACCCGGTGCAAATCCTGCCTCCTCCTCGCCCGGCCTCTCTCCTCTCCTGCTGGGCCTCCCCTCCCCCCGCTCGGCTCTTCCCCGGAGCCCCGCCGCCTTCCCACTTCCCCCTGCAGGGAGAGGGCGGCTGGGGAGCATGGGACTCGGGAAAAGCCCCACCCCCTCACCCGGGGCACGTCTGGATGTCCCCCCGCCAGACTCTCCCGCAGCTTCTCCGCCTCCTATGGAGCACTAAGGGTTAAGGAGAACGAGTGCTGTGTCCTAGAGAGGCAAGGCTCCAGTGGGCCAATGGGGAAACACCTGGAGTTCCCTTCTCTTGGCGGAGCGCGCCACCTGGTGAATTTGGCGTGAAGTGCCAGGATGGTAGAAAGGGCGGGAAAGAGGAGAGCGTCTGTGGGGAAGGGAGAAGGCGGGGATGATGGGCTTGGGAGTAGGAGGAAAGGCTGCTCTCAATGGCTCCCTGTCAGACAGAGGCCTCGGCGTCTCCAGAGGCGGTTCTTTCTCCATCTTCCTCTTCTTTCCTGTCCAGGAACCGTCTGTGGAGATGGAGAAAAACCTCTCCGGAGGATTCGAACTCGCCTCCCTGAAGAACCGCCGCCCTGAAGGCTCCGTGGAGATCGGAGACCTCAAAAGGGGCCAAATCCTGTCAGGAACGGGCGGGCTATCAGAAAATGAGGACCGGGCGGCTCTCTGGGGGACCCCGCAGATTCCGACCTGAAGGGGAGGAAGGTGGGAGACGGGCAGGGAGGCCTCCATGAGGGAAAATGGTTGGAAAGAGACCGAGGAGGAAGGAGGGAGAGAAAAAGGCTCCGCAATGGAGGAAAAGCTGGAAATCTCTGGAGAGGCCAGAAATTTTACCTCATAATGAGGCTCCTTCATTGGGAAGCAAAGGGGGGGAAATGGCGCCTCCTCTCTTTTTCCCCTCCCCTCCTTCATCTGGGGTTTTGGGGCCACCGCAGGAAGACTCGGCCGGTGTGTGATGGGGGGAATGGTCCCAAAGACGGAGAAGAGTTGGGCTCCTGTGGGCAATGCCTCCCCTTGCAAGGCCGCGTGGGAGAACCTGGAGGAGGCTCAACCCCAAAGGTCCCAATGGCAGAAGAACAATCTGGAACCTCCTGAGGTAAATCTCCCACAGGCTAGAAGGAAAAGGGGGGAACGCCCCCTTTCCACCCAGAGCAGCCAATCGGAGCAGGAGCCCCAGGCTCTCAAGGACAACGGGGAGTTTGGCACCATCGTCCCCTTTCCTCCTCCAGCTTTTGGACTGGAGAGCTTCACATCTAAAGTTTATTGCTCAGGGGAACTGAACCAGCAATTTGTAGACAACCAATTTCCCAGGAGCAACTAAGAGCCAGAAGTCAAAGCCTTTTTTTCCTCTTTTTTCCCTTCTACCTCAGACTTTCTTTTTCCCTCCCTTTCTCCTTCCCCTAATTTCAGTTTTTCTTCATATTTTATATATTAAACAAATATAAAATATAAAAATAAAATATAAAAAACAAAATAAAACTATAAAGTAAAATGAGATAAAATACAAAGCAAACAAATAAGAAACAGACCTTAAATGTGGAAATTTTAAATTTTAAATTCGTCTTATTTATAGGGTCATGGGTAAGGCGTTTTAAATTGGGGAGCCATTTTGGATTTAATTCTGTTTTAAACGTATTTTAATGTTTATATTGTATGTTTTTTAAATTTTGGCTGTTCACCGCCCCGAGTCCTTCGGGAGAGGGGGCGGTATAAACAGGATAATAAATAAATAATAAATAAATAAATAAATAATAAAGGAGGAGGTGGTGTTGTATTATATATAAGAAATAACCGAACCACTCTAGAAATGCAACAGAAGAAAGACGAAAACCTCCTTCCATGCATTTGGGTTGATATAAAAAGGGAAAAAGAAGGATGGAGCCATGGGAGTATATTAGAAGCTACCCAACCCAATGTTAAACGGTCACTAAATGAACTGTTATAAGTCAAGGACTAATGTGCTTTAACTGATAGAAAAAGGGCTAGATAACTCCTATAATCAGGTTGTTTGATGATGATTTTATGCTGTCAAGTTGGTGTCAATGCTTAACCACCCCATGGATAGACTTTCTCTGGGGAGACCCCTTCACATCCCCCCCCTCCAGGTCCTCTGGACAGTATCCCCCCCGCCGCACTGCAACTGAGCCCCTCCCCCACTATGCTGGTCCCCCTTTTCCACTCTTCCCTTCCATCTTTCCTCCCATTTCATTTCATTTATTGGATTTATATACCGCCCTACTCCCGAACGACTCAGGGCGGTGAACAGCCACAGAATAAAACACATAAATACAAAATTTAAAAACAGAATAAAACCGAATTAAACAATTTGGCCGAGACAAATTTAAAACACCCAATAATTTTAAAAACAAATTAAAATTTACATTTTAAAGGGGAAAGATTTAGGCCAGGCAGGCTTGATGGAATAAAAAAGTCTTGAGAGCACGACGGAAGGTGCGCAGATCCAGGATCCTCCGTATCTCCGGTGGGAGCTCATTCCAGATAGTAGGTGCCCCCACAGAGAAGGCTCTCCTCCTGGGGGCTGCCAGTCAACATTGTTTGGCCGACGGCACCTGGAGGAGCCCCTCTCTATGAGAGCGTACCAGCCGGTGGGAGGCTCTTGGTGGTAGCAGGCGGTCCCATAAATAACCAGGTCCTAAGCCATGGAGCGCTCTAAAGGTGATAACCAAAGCCTTGAAGCGCACCCGGAAGATCACCGGGAGCCAGTGCAGCTCGTGCAGGAGAGGTGTTATATGGGAACGCCATGTCACTCCCATAACCATCCGCGCGGCTGCACTCTGCGCCAGTTGGAGCCTCCAAGCGCTCCTCAAGGGGAGCCCCATGTAGAGAGCATTGTAATAGTCCAGGCGGGAGGTGATGAGGGCATGAGTGACTGTGCGTAAGGAGTCCCGATCTAGAAAGGGACGCAACTGGCAAATCAGGCGGACCTGATGAAAAATCCACCCGGTCATGGCCGTCAAATGCTCTTCTAAAGACAGCCGTGAATCCAGGAGGATGCCCAAGTTGCGAGCCCTCTCCATGGGGGCCAATGATTCGCCCCAATAGTCAGCGATGGCACCAGCTGACTATATCGGGATATTGGAAACCACAGCCACTCGGTCTTGGATGGGTTGAGCCTGAGCCTGTTTCTTCCCATCCAGATCCACACGGCCTCCAGGCACCCGGACATCACTTCAAGGGCATCATTGGGGTGGTCCGACGTGGTCCATCAGAGCCTCTTCCAGAGAGCAAGGAGGGTCTCCCCACAAAGGGTCCCAAGGGGGAGAATGTGCGTCCTTTGAGTAACATTTCTCCAACCCTCCATCTGTTTGTTTCCTGGGCTCTCCAGGGTCTCCTCGGGAGTCAGGAAGGGCCCCTTCAGCCACTTCTGGTGGGGCAGAGGAACAAGGGGCTGCTCCTCAGCCATGGGGCAGAGGAGGAGAGTCCCTGAGCTGCCCTGATGAAGAATTGTGGCTTGTTGCCTGCTGGATCCTGGCCAGTTCCTCAGTTCCGCTTCAGAGGAGCCCAACACTTCAGGCTGGGGAAGCGAAGCCCAAATGCCTCTGCAGCTGTTGGGGGCTGGAGAAAGAAACTCTCTGTGTGTGTGTGTGTGTGTGTGTGTGTCAGAGAGAACTCGGAGAAGAGCACAATATTTGGGGTGTTGAAAGCATGAAAGGGGCCCAGAGGTTCTGCCTGGGTCAGGTGAGGGATGGAGGCCCCACAGAGGCTGCCTGGATCTGACTTTGTGTGAGTGGTTGTGTCAGATACACAACTGTGGGGCAGATTCGGACTCTGCCGCCTCCTTCAGCTGCTGGGGGGGACCTGGCTCTGGGCTGCTGAGGCTGGTGCTGGGCCGGGGGGGGGAGTTTGACCCCTCCAGCCCCCCATCCCTGGAAAGGACCCAGGCCACCTCTGGACCCACAAAGCTCTTTAAACAGAATCTGGAATTCAGGATCTGTCTAAGCCGCCTTTGCGTAACTCAGCGGAACTGGAATCTCCCAAAGACTAGAAAAAATATTATCTATGGATGTAGTGAACGAGGAGTAGAAGAAACAGAAGGTCTCCTTTTGGGATAGTTTGGGGGGAGGAGATTTCCAGACTGTGATGGTTAAAAGGCTGTAATCCTATAGTGGAGGATATAGGATCACCGAAGTCCCCAGGATTTCTATTAAAACTCCAGGTTGTTCTATAAATTATAAATTCATTGTTTGGTTTGATATACTGTCCATCCTTCCTAAATAATCTTGAAACCTTTTACAAGGAGGAAAATCCGCTCAGATCTTCTTACACATATCCGTGGATATGGATTTTCTTCTTTTGGGAAAATATTTCCTCCAACTCCCCTTCAGAAGAACGGAGCTAATCTCAGAGGATGGATTCTTAGGACTTGGGAGTCCCAGGACTGATTCCTCTCCCGGTAAAATCCGTTTTATCTCACACTGCAAAACGTTGAGTTCCCTGGGAAAGAACAAACGGCAGGAATGATGGAGCCGCTTCGTCCAGACGTTCTGAGCAAGAGAGATGCGTGTTTCAAGGAAGGGAAATGCTGTTTTCTCTTGTAAAGCCAAGAGATCCGTGCGGAAATTCCCCCGTGAAGGGGGCTGGGGAGAGCATTCCGGCTGGATTAGGAGGGATCCCTGCAGATCCTCTCTGCCTCTTCCGGCATGGACTGTCAGTTGAGAGTTTCCCTGGCTTCCCTTCGGATTGGGGTGAGTGTGTGACCCCCAAGTCCTGGCTGAGTGGGGGGGGTATGGATGTTACTTTCCTTCCAGCCCTCCCCCCCTAATTCCTGTCCATTTAGATCCAACGTTCCCTGCAGAGAGTTAATGGGATTGCTGGACCAGAGGAGCTTCTGCCTGCCTTTTTCCACCCGGGGAGGATGGAGGAGGTCCCTCCCCTCCCCCTTTCTTCCCTCCCCCTTTCTTCCCTCCCCCCTCCAGACCCCCCCCCTCAGTAAGTCTGCCTTCCTCTCTAGGGCTGACAGAGTTTATTTATTTATTTATTTATAATTAGACTTCTATACCACCCTTCTCCCGAAGGACTCGGCGGTGTACAGCCATATTAAAATGCATAAATTTACAAGATACCTGGAGAGGGGCATCTACGACTGGCAGGAGATCTATTACTTCGACAGCGACTGTGGGGAGTTCGTAGCCGTCACTCCGTTGGGGCAGCCCTATATGGACAAGTGGAACAGAGACAAGCAGTGCCTGCAGTACAAGAAGGCCGAAGTGGATGGCTTCTGCCGGTACAACTACCGCTTGTTGAACTACGAGGCAGCCAAGGCAGAGGAGCACCTGATTGGCCGGAGAGGTGAGTCCTAAAGGGGGGGTCTTCCCTGGGAGGGAGAGGCCAGGATCCCCCTTTCATTTCACTCATTAGGATCCTCCCGGATGAAGGTTTTACGCATTTATTCTACCCTCTCAGATTTACAAAATCTTCTTCCCTGTTGCGTGTTTCCGAGGATCTAGCCCAATAACTCCAACACAGGATAAGTTTAATTCAAAAGGCATTTATTTACATCTTACTTATCTCTTACAGGAGAGCATCTGGAATGAAGCTGGACTCCTGGACAATACCTTATATACCTGAGAGGCGGAGTCAAGGTGAGGAGGGGTCAAGGGAAGAGCTAGGTGGGATGGCCAGTGTTAACCCTTGCCCTGCCATGGGTGCACAGTGTTAGGCATTTGCATGTAACATTCCCAGGGTCCAAACTCTCCTCCTGTCTGGAATCTGGGATCCCTTTGATCCACCCCCCTCCCCGAAAATGTTTCTTCCATAAGAGGAAAACCTCCAGATCCTAAGAGAGAAAAGCCACTTGGAGCATTTGCTCCTTCTGGAAATTATTAAATATTTTAGGGGAACCAACAGAGATTTTGTCCTCTGTAGATTCAGTCTGGAGGCAGAATTAACTTTCACTCCGAAATTCTTCCCTGCCAACGTGGGAAGATTTTAACCTACCACATAAGATGCATTTGGAAATGTTTTTACTACCAAAATGGTTATTTTCTTGGAGATAATAATGTCCAGCTATTTAATTTGTTTCTGGACTACGTTTAAAGTGTATTTTTTCCTACAACCAACACAACTTTCTTGTCATCTGGCATAATACCTGAAACAATTCTCATTCCAATAATATTTAATATAGAAATTTCACCACTTTGATTAATTTATCTAGTGATTTTTCATAACCTCCGAAAGTGCCCCAAGTGCCAATTGTGTTAGCGTTGTGTGTCTCTTCTTTTTTGTGGGTCTCTCAGGGCCTCCCTCCCTCCTCCCTCCTTTTGGGGGTCTCTGGGGGGGATTTTCCTTTCATGGAAAGGAGCTTCATCAGCTGCCCAAACACCCCAAAGCCCATTCTCCCCTCCTCTTTTCCTCCCTCCCCTCCTTCCTTTCTCCCTACCTGGTTCAGGGACAGGACCAAAATCTCTGGATGGTTTGTTGCTTTAGCTACTCACAAGCTTTATCCACATAAATAAAGGACCCGGATTGTGGGGGCAATAAGCTGATTTTGTATAAAAAAGAACACCGCTTAAGGGGGGCCAAAAGCCCTACTAAGCAGGTATATACAAAAGTATGAAGGCTGTTGCTTAATGCATTGTAAGCCGCCCGGAGTCTCCGGAGAAGGGCGGCATATAAATCGAACCAATAAATTAATTAATTAATAATAAATAAATACAATGCATTTTTATTATAAATCCAAAGCGGTGATCCTGAATTTCATTGTGATTAATATAATTTCTTCTTCATCAAAAGTATTATTTTTACTTCCATGAAAATACTTCAGACAAGAGGCCAATAATTCTCCAGGGGTTCCTGTTCTTTATTAAAAGAACAGGAATATTTATTAAATTCTGTGTATTTAAAGCCAATTGTTGGTCAGGCTCCAGTTTAGGAGATGTGAAATCACAGGATGTTTCTTGAGTCTCTTTGGGGGAATTTTCTCTGTTTTTCTTTGACTTCTGAGCTGACTTTTCTCTCCGGAGAGATCCGGGCGTCTCCTTCCCCCGAGAGGCAAAGCTTTTCTCTGGACACCAAGAGAGGCTCTCAACCTTTCCTCAACTATCCCCAAAATTATACATATGTATATAAAGAAGTTAATGAATCCTGCTGAATCAGTCTGCCTGTGTGTGCTTTCTGGATTTGATTTTTACAAGAAACTGATTGATATCTGTCTCCTATTTTACTACATTAGGCATCAAGCTTGATATCAAAAAGAAATCTTGAATGACATGATGCGGGGCAGATAAAATGCACTTTCTACTCCTGCTGTTTTAAATCAAGAGGTCTCTATTTGTCTATTAAATTGGATTCCTGGATGGGCAGAGGGAGAAAGTTGTGTCCCTTGGTAGGTATTTAAAAGGGAAAAAAAATCTTTTTCTGATCCAGTTAAGAACTCCAGCAACTCCCATCTGGCCAAATTGGAACCCCAAATCTCCACACTGCAGTCTTGTAAATAATGAGGTTTGGGATGGGCTATCAAAATAAACATGGAAAAATACCAAATTGCAGCTTTTGAATTTCCACTTCTTTAGAATCTGATTCTCCCATTTTCTTGCTAAAAGTCTTTCTCATCCAAAATTTGCACTTCTTGTTTAAAAAAAAGAGAGGCCATTTTCAGTTTGTAAAGCCTCTGCCTTCTTTTAGTAATTCCACAAAGGCCTTTAATGTCCCAAGATGAAAATGGGATTTTATTTTCCTGGAAAATAAAAACCAGCTCACACCTGAAATGTTGCTATTTGTCTGTGTGGAAACCTGACCAGATCCCAGGTTGGAATTACAAAGAACCATTTAAAAATTGGTTGTTCTTAAGCATTATAGAATTTACTGTTTATAAGAAAATCTTATTTATTATTTATATTTCATATAATTTACTGTTAATAAGAAAACAGGGAAAAAAAGGTTAGCAAAGGACTCGAGACTTGGAATGGATCTATTGTCAACTCTGTTGGGGGGGGGGGGCTCATCCAGACCCCTCCTCCTTAAATCCATCCAAGAGTTTAGAGAGATTACAGATTAACAGAGTTGGAAGGGACCGTGTAGGTCATCTAGTCCAACCCCCTGCCCAAGCAGGAGACCCTACGCTATTTCTGACAAATGGCAGTCCAATCTCTTCTTGAAAGCTTCCAGTGATGGAGCTCCCACAACTTCTTGTGCCAATTGGAGCATTTGCTGAAGGAGGAGATCAAGAGGGATCCTCTCCAAGGTTCTGTTGTGATCCTGGGATCTGCCTGATCTCCTCAGCCTCCAACTGCCCCCACCTTCCCTTTCCCCAAGATCACCTCTGGATCCCTTCCACTCTCCCTGCCAGCCCCATCTGAGACAGAAGCTGCATCAGGGAGTTGGAAGGACCCCTCCTCACCCCCCCCCAGAGTGGCTGGTTCCTGTGGCTGGGAAGGAGGCCGGCTGGCTGCAGGCAGAGCCTGGTCTGGGGATTCAGAGGAGACCCTCTGAATCCCCCCAAAGCCCCCCTCAAGGGAGGACCCACAAGAGAAATTGTGAGATATCCTGAAACCTCGTGAACTTCCTGCTCCAAAAGGGGGATTCAGGTCTGTCGTCTTCAATTGGGGGAAGAAGCTCTTCCCTCAGGAAAATCTGGCAGTTGTGGGGAGCAAAGGGCTGCCCCCCATTGGGTTCCTTTGCCCTTTCCTTAAAAATGTCACTTTCTGTTGATGATGCCTAAAATTGGGGGGTTTTGTAGCCACATCACATTTTGGACTTTTCCCCCCTGAAATCTTCTGCTGATTTTTTTGTTTATTTCTGTATCTTGTGGATCCTAAAGGGAGAAAAGAAAAAGTGGAAGGTTTCTCTCTCCAAATAAAACTTTTTGAAAAGTGATTGAAACACCAAAGAAAATTGGGACAAAGATCTTCTCTCCTCCTCTCCTCTCCTCTCCTCTCCTCTCCTCTCCTCTCCCCTCCCTTCCCCTTTCCTTCCTTCCTTCCTTCCTTCCTTCCTTCCTTCCTTCCTTCCTTCCTTCCTTCCTTTCTTTTTCTTGGCAAGCTTGGTTGATCACCTTCAAGGCTGCACAGACGCATTTGGCTCAGTATCTCTCTGTCATGTTAAGTCCGGACACAAAAAGAGAGGCAGGACGATCATAGTGAAGTAAAACAACCGTTTATTGCAGGCAACAGAGAACAACAATAAAATAACTATGAACTGAGGACTGCCCAAAGCTGCAGCTCCTTTTACCTGGAGCTGTCCAGCCTGTCAGCCAATGATGTTTTTTCATTTTCCCACTGGGGAAAATGAACCAATGAGTGAAGGCTGATGCAAGACTCACTCCTACTTGCATATTCAACATGTCACCAGGGCTGGAGATCTCCTCTGTCTGCTGATGTTATAAGTTTACATTTCCACCTCTGGGGACCCAGGAGATGCTGAGGTTGCCCCCTCGAGGGCCCTGGAGGCTGTGGGGGGGAGGGGCTGAATGGGGGATTAGATGCTTTGGCTGAACCCTGGCCAGACCAAGGGGCTCTGGGTGCCCGGAGCCCCAAGATGGGGGACTTTAACCAACTTCATTCTGGATGGAGTTGCATTGTGGCTTCATGGCGAAGGTTGTTGAGAGTGTGGTCGCGCGACAGTTCCCACAATTCCTGGAGGAAACATCTTATCTAGATCTGTTCCAGTCGGGTTTCAGGTCTGGGCACAGCACGGAAACGGCATTGGTCGCGTTGGTTGACGATCTCTGGAGGACTCGGGACAGGGGTTGCTCCTCTGTTCTGGTCCTGTTAGATCTCTCAGCGGCTTTTGATACCATCGACCATGGTATCATGCTGCACCGGCTGGAAGAGTTGGGGGTGGGAGGCACCGTGTTGCGGTGGTTCTCCTCCTTTCTCTCCGACCGGTCGTAGTTTGTGTTGGCAGGGGGGCAGAGGTTGACCTCGAGGCCTCTCATCTGTGGAGTGCCGCAGGGATCGGTCCTCTCGCCCCTTCTGTTCAACATTTATGTAAAGCCGCTGGGCGAGATCGTCCGTGGCTTCGGGGTGAGATACCACCAGTACGCTGATGACACCCAGCTGTACATCTCCACCCCAGGCCACCCCAATGATGCCCTTGAAGTGATGTCCCAGTGCCTGGAGGCTGTGCGGATCTGGATGGGGAGGAACAGGCTCAAGCTCAACCCTTCAAAGACTGAGTGGCTGTGGCTCCCGGCATCCCGATATAGTCAGTTGACTCCATCACTGACTATTGGGGGCGAGTCTTTGGCCCTCACAGAGAGGGTTCGCAATCTGGGAGTCCTCCTGGATAGGCAGCTGTCCTTGGAGGAACATTTGACAGCTGTAACCAGAGGGATCTTTTGTCAGATTCACCTGATTCGCCAGTTGCGGCCCTTTCTTGATCGGGATTCCCTGTGCACAGTCACTCATGCCCTCGTCACCTCTCGCCTTGACTACTGCAACGCTCTCTACATGGGGCTCCCCTTGAAGAGCACCCGGAGGCTCCAACTGGTCCAGAATGCAGCAGCGCGGGTAGTGATGGGAGCAACATGGCGCTCCCATGTAACACCGCTCCTGCGCGAGCTGCACTGGCTCCCAGTGGTCTTCCGGGTGCGCTTCAAGGTGCTGGTTATCACCTTTAAAGCGCTCCATGGCATTGGGCCTAGCTATCTTCGAGACCGCCTGCTGCTACCGACGACCTCCCATCGTCCCGTGCGCTCCCACAGAGAGGGCCTCCTCAGGGTGCCATCAGCCAATCAATGCAGGCTGGTGACCCCCAGGGGGAGGGCCTTCTCTGTGGGGGCACCTACCCTCTGGAATCAGTTGCCCCCAGAGATAAGGAGAATCCAAGACCTTAGTGCCTTCTGCCGTGCCCTTAAAACCCACTTTTTCAAGCAAGCAGGGCTGGCTTAAGAAGAAATTTTAAATGTTTTAATTGGTTTGTATTTTTAATTTTGGGCCAAATTTATATATATTTTAATTGTTTTTAATATTTGTATTTCATGTTTTTTAATTCTGGCTGTACACCGCCCTGAGTCCTCAGGGAGAAGGGCGGTATATAAATTTAAAATAAAATAAAAAAATAAAAAATTGTCCCAGAGACCCAGTTCGCAATTCTGGATATTCTCCTGGACTCCTGAAGAGCAGGTGGCAATCACAGCTAGGAGAGTGTTTGTAAGACTTTGGGTTACCTCTGCCACTTTGGCAAATAAATTTAATAAATAACTAAATTTACTAAACAAACAATGTTGTGGTATTGCACCTACTTAAAAGCGTAGTTTAATTTTCAACAACATCCCAAGAATCATCTGACTCGTGCTGTGTCTGTCCTTCCCATCTTCTGCATTATTTCTTTCCATGTCCACCACATCTGGCAGAAAGTTCCTTCCACCTCTGGGCATTTCCTGCATTTATCCCTGTTGGACTTACCTATTTGGGGAATTCTTTTTTAAAGACTGCAACTGATCCCAATCAGGAATGATTTAACTTTTTTCCCTCTTTCAGGATCCCTGTTAATTTCTTGCTGCAATTTACTTTGGAAGATGACTCAAAACACGTATTTTTTTCAGGAGTAAAAAGGGATCTTGGCCTGAACTAACCAACTTGATTTTCTGTTCTGGGCCCTGTTGTGTCTCTCATGTGGCTCCTTCTCCTCCTTCCCTCCAGCCAAGCCCACCGTCTCCATCTCCCCCACCAAGATGGAGCCCTCTTCCCCCAACACCATCCTCCTCTGCTCCGTGATGGGCTTTTACCCCATGGAGATCGAGGTCCAGTGGCTGAAGAACAGGTGGCCGGAGAAGGACGGCGTGGCCTTTGGGGAGGAGCTCCAGAATGGAGACTGGACCTACCAGCTCCAGGTGATGCTGAAGACCCAGTCCAGGGGGGGACCTCTACACTTGCAAGGTGGAGCACGCCAGCCTGGAGGCTCCCATCACTGTCCAGTGGGGTAAGCCCCTCCCCTCCAACCCCTCCTGCTCTGGGGACCCCATCCTGCCCTGAGAAGGGGGAGAGCCCCACCCCATGGGGAGAGCTGGAATGGACCCTCCTGGGGGAAGGTGGGCCTGATCCTCCTGCTCAGGTGAGGCTCCTTCTCCTTCCCCAGAGCCCCGTTCCTCCAGCTCTGCCAGGAGCAAACTCTGGACGGGGATCATGGGGGCCGTGATAGGAGTGGCCTTCCTGGCTGTGGGGCTCTTCTTCTACCTGAAGAGCAAGAAAGGTGAGTCTGGGGGGCTGGAGGGGAGGTTGTGGGGAGGGGACCCTCTAGGGGAGGCCTCTCATCAAGCTTAGCAGGTGGCCAAGAGGGGCCCCTTGGGGAATATTTTTGGCAACTTCTCTTATTTGAGGG